AATGTTAATGACTGGCTGACTGTACGTACTTTGTGAATGACCCATACAACCAATTCATACCATTGTTTGATAAGTCTTTTATAGAAGAAAATACTTTTTCCAAATAATCCAAACATTTTGCATTAAATTCTTCGCAATTCTTATAATTATATTCCTTATAATCACACAAATCAATGGTTTTATGAGTCATTTAAAACTCATTTGTGAAACAGTCGAAGAAATTTGTATAATTTGTTTTAATTATATTATCGTTTGTTTTACTAAGAATGCGATATATTTTCCCATTCATTATAGTTCTAAGCCTCCAGAAGGCATTCTTATATGATATAATTTCATTCATTTCTGTAAACCTTTTATCTCTATTTAATACTTTTGGTAATATTTGTATCAAATAGTCGTTGTTTTCATTCGTATATTGTCCGCAAAAATGAATGAATCCATCGTTTGATAAGAAGTAAATGATGCCGCAATTGGAACAGATAGTCTTAATACCAGTCATGTCTTCAATGAGTTGTGGTAATTATCACACAATGATTCTCACGAGTGATCGCTGTGTCTATGAATGGGGTTATAATATGTTCGGACAGTTAGGTTAGGAGGGCTATTACCCTTAGCAGGGGTAATTATGTCGATTAATGATATATAGCAATATTCTCTGTCATTTGTACTTTGGGAGATATATTAAAATGAATTGTTCCACGGACTTTCTGTTTCACCTAATACAATAGCTATGTGGGGCGGCCATCATATACCTGGCCGTTCGGGTTATCCTAAAATACACACCCGATGTGACTGATGTGGGAAAAGAGACCCCGGCGTTTGTACCCTTTTTTTAATACACAATATATAGTTACAAACAAAAAATTGTTTACTAAAAAACACATATTTAATAAGCTTTAATGGTATTAAACATAGCTTATCTAATTAAATACACTGTATATTAGCTAACTATTTATAAACAAAAACAATTTTTTGTTTTTCATAAAAGTGTTAATATAGAAAAATTAATTATAAACTTGGTACAAATTGTAATCAATAGGTATTCAGCGATAGTGCTGTTAGTGGCAGGAGGGTTCATACTTGTGGTCAGCTTTTTGGGCTGTTGTTGTGCTATCCGTGAGAGCTATTGTATGCTTAAAACCGTATGTATACCACAATATTCTTGATATTCATATATCACTACAATATATCATTCATACCATTAATTCACACACCAATGGACAGTATGGCGGACTCGTATTCATATGTCTGGCAGCACAGGGTGTCGGCGCTTATATGGCCATCAAATACAACCACGATGTTTGTTATTTGTAATATACATGTACTGAAATGACTCTGATGACACTTCTCAATGAAATAGTTGGAGCAATACGTGAACAAAGGCATTAAGTCAACACTGGATGCCTACAAATGGGAGTTAGCCGAGGATGAGGCCACCAATCGTGCCATCAATGAGTTCCAGAAGCAGTTGCAGTGCTGTGGAGGCAAAGACAGATACGACTGGAACGGCGTTTATGGCAAACCAGAGGGTCAGTCATATTAGTTAGCTAGTTCATATTTGCCATCAATGTATATGTTGTATGTTTTAGGTCTATACCCGGGGTAGTGTTTGCAAGGATAATGCATATATGCTTTAAACACATCCAAACCACTCATCCCTTGAGTTGACCGCAGATTTCTAGACGCATACAAATCGCATGACATAAACCTATGAGGAGTGACCGTCGAGACTGAGCCCACACGAGGGACTCCATCCAAGGGCTTCAACTGTCTGAACCTAACCGGCCTATGGAACGGGATTTTCTGAAACTGAATTTAGGGCCAACCCTTGCGAAGGCCGGGTATGGGAAAGACAAACTCAATCTAATGGCATTCGACGACAACCTCAGCGTTTTATAAGAAGCTCGTACCGCCTATACTAGTGGACAGGGAGGCAGCGAATACGTGTCGGGCATCGCATATCACTATTCGGTGGATATCCGGACGGAAATACAGCACAACTACACCGATAGATGTGTTTCTATTAAGCTCTAAGACCTGTCATCTCGAGGGACCGGATTTAGTGCTGTGGAGAGCCGGTGAAAACTATGCAAAGGGAATAATTAAGGTATATGTGTGCTTGATACAATCTATATAAATAAACGATCTGTGATTAGTTATGTATAATTTATGTAGGCTTTGAATATTTTTCTCTTTTGTATACAATATTCCTTCAAAAAACAATTTATATTCTCGAGAGATAATTGTCAAAACAAATCAAATATTAAATTGATCCTCGGTTAAATTAGTAAATATATTTAATATTACTTTTGATGTGAATATAAAATATTTATGCAAATTATGAAATCATTGTTTGGATGATAATAGTAAGTGTTTTAAAAATTAAAACAATAGTGTCTTATATTATTATGAGTACAGGTGACAAAATTATATATATTTTTTGTCCTCAATGTACCACTGACCGCAATTTTGGCAATTTGTCCTCTCGGGCTCTGAAAATAGGTGGCAACCCTAGTTGATGGCCTTTTGTGGTATAACCAATTCTTCGTATTTTGCATTAAAATACTGACTGAAAAATTTGTAATCATTTTGTTGAATGAGATTTAGCGTGGAATCAAATGTGGGATCAGTTTTGAGACAATTCTCATGAATAGACCATAAGTTATTTTCCGATAATACTTGTGAACACTCGGGTCGAGTGCAATGAATGGGAACACACATCGAGTCTATGATTTGATCCAATTTAATGAATTTGTCGTATATTTCATATCCCGAGTAAATATTCAACTCAATCGGGGAACTGTAATCAAGGATATTAATAGATTTAAATGACTAATGTAAATAAATTAAATATCAAAGTAATTACTTAGAATCATTCAAATCAAACAATTTGTGTGCAATGATTGCCAGGCTATAAATATCCGCTTTCGTTGTGTATTTGGTTTGCAATTTAACTTCCGGTGCCATGAATTGACGTGTACCCACCCCTTTGGTATGACTTGCAAAGGAACTGGAGTGCAGTGACGCCAACCCAAAGTCAGCCACTTTTAAATACTTGCCATTCCTTACAGTCTTCGCCATTAATATATTGTCGGGTTTAAGGTCTCGATGAATGACCGGAGGATTCAATTCATGTAAATATTGAACGCATTCTAAGATCTCTTTGAATATATGACACGAAATGTAAAACTCGATTGAATTCATGGGTTCTCCCGGTTGTCGACCAAATACTTGTGGTTTGTTTTGAAGAATATTCTGCAGACTATGGGAACACAACTCCATTTGAATGTAATATATATTGTCTTCAGACCATTGACTCATATATTGAACACAGTAATCTGACCTAACTTTTATCAATTTTTGTATTTCTTGCATACAATCCCTGAAATTTTCATCATCTGTAAGTGAATTAATTATGATAATTATATATAATTCAAAATTTTAAAAAACAATATTTACAAAGACTATAATACATTTTAATGATGTATTAGTTATAATAAATATCATTAAATTACTTTCATATTTTATTTTCTTAACCGCATATTCTCGTCCCTCATGTTTACGTTTAACAACAAATACTTCCCCAAAAGCTCCCGAACCTAATGAATGCAACTCTTCGAACAAACGCTTGTATTCATTCATTTCGGAAACAACTATAAAATAAATCAAATAAATCCATTAATTCATTCAGTTTTGTTAAAATGTCATTCAAAAGTACTCAGAGGAGAGGGATAATTAATAAGCTTACTATATAATAAATTTAATTAATTATTACTTTTTCATAATTAAAATAAAAATAATTTGTTTAGAAAGCTGAATTTTATGAAAGTTCATCAAATTGAAACAAAGAGACAATTGTAAAATGTACTAGTTAATGAAATTAAACTAATTCAAGAACATTTTTAGAATAATATTGCATATTTGGTTTTACTGCAAAACTTAATGCAAGTTATTACTCAATTTAGATCAAATCAAACGCGCCTTATCATGAACTTTGGGAATAATAATACAATTCTATCGATAACACTCTGTTAGTCGTGAATTCTGACTGACTGGCTGTACGTACTCTATGAATGACAGCTAAAACCAATTCATACCATTGTTTGATAACTCGTTTATAAAATAAAATAATTTTTCCAAATAATCCAAACATTTTGCACGAAATTCTTCACAATTTCTATAATTATATTCCTTATATTCACACAAATTAATGGTTTTATGAGTCATTTGATACTCATTTGTGAAACAGTAGAAGAAATTTGTATAAATTGTATAATTTGTTTCAATTATAGTATTGTTTGTTTCGTCTGTAATATTATATAATTTTCCATTCATTATTGCAAAGAAAAAACACACGTAATCCATTGCCAATTCAATTTTATACATTTCTGTAAACCTCTTATCAGGTTTTAATACTTTTGGTGACATTTGTAACAAATATTCGTTGTTTTCATTTCTATATTGACCGCAAAAATTAATAAATCCATCGTTTGATAAGAAGAAAGTGATGGCAAAACTGGAACAGATAGTCTTAATACCAATCATGTCTGCAATGAGTTGTGGTTTCCATATATTATCCGATGAATTGTGTCCCAAATTATACCAATCATTTCGACCCCAACTAAACACCTGTCCATTGGATGTGATGGCAAATGAAGAGTAATGACAACAATAAATACTTTTAATTTCGTGATTAGGATTGAAATTCACTCGAAATGTGTCTCTTTTTTGTATATCTCTGTCTGGTCCACAACCTAACTGTCCGTACATATTATAACCCCATCCATAGACACAGCCATCACTCGTGAGGACCATTGTGTGATAATTACCACAACTTATTAGACAAATAGTTTTATTATCAATGTACTTGAGATCAAAAGGTACCGGTTTTACGTATAAGTGATCCGGACTCTTGTGTGCCATACCTAACTGTCCCTTATCATTATTACCCCAAACATAGAGACAATTATCTTGAGTGAGGACTAACACAAAGTCTACTCCATTGAAGAATTGTGTGATATTCTTGTGACACAATCTGTGGATCACTTGGATTTCATTGACATATACATCGTGTCCTAAACCAAGAGATCCCCAATAATTAGATCCCAAACCGTAAACCATGACAATCATTGTTAATAAATATTTCTTATTAATAATATATTTTATGTAAATAATAGTGTCTTTGTTTGTAATGTGTTTTATGTATAATTAAAATTTTAAAACAATTAATTCAATAATTATACGCTTATAATATGAATTATATGCTAATTGTGTTTAAAATATGAGTTTAAATATTACTGCAAACAAAAGTCCACAACAATCGGGAGTGGAGTCCAGTAATAGCCGATCC